TATATATATATATATATATATATATATATATATATATATAGCCCACTAGCTCATATGTTAGTGATTATATTCTTTTGATACCCTTGCGATCTATGCCTATTAATGTAAAAGTAAATCACTATAAAATTACATGGATGATTATTTGTTCGTACATTAATTTACACACATGTATCATCCTTTCTAGCTATCTCTTATCTTCAAGAATTAAAATATTTACATCCAAAGTAAAAATTTTGCACAGCCAGGCAAGACCAAGGCTAGTAATTACCATCAAGCCACACTTGGGAGTAAGGCTCTGATCGCAATCAGGGCTAGTAATTACCATCAAGTCACACTTGGGAGTAAGATGCTTGCATCATCAAGTGAGTGTTTGCATCCCAGATGTAAAATCGCACCATGTGGTAAAACTAACTACCGTCGCTGCCCAAAGTGACACATAATCACATTGCCTACACTTCACCAATGTGTATCATAACATCACTTCACAAAAGTTCAGGGAAAAATCATGGCTTAAGAGAATAATTAGTAGATGGGGCCTTGCAGGTTGTGTTCTGCTCTGCGAGTTACCCCAAAAACATATATTATAGTAAAAAAACGATGCCCGGATACGAATTTATGCCCTCTAAAAGTTTTCGGGTTTGAGGTCCCACTGTCCCCGTAAAGCCGAGGTGGTACACAGTTTTTGTACGATTGCATGGCAGTCACATAGATGTGGAGCAGCCGTAGCTACAGCCACACAAAAATGCTATGGCCCTCGCATGTGTGACACCACACTTGCGGTCCCACACATGCCAGTCCACAAATGTGGTAACATACTTGGTCCCACACATTTCAATTCAAATGCGTGGTTCCACACATTTTATATGATACTCTAGTCCAACATGTGTGGCCTCTTTTTTTACATGATGGTGCTAGACCACAGCTGTATTGGTCTTGTAGGACCATCTCGTTAAAGTGGTCTGCACGAATACATTGTCACTGTGGTCTAGGGGGAGCAATTGGGCATCATGATCAAGCAAGATCATTTGCGCGCAGGGATCCTGCAGGGCCACCTACTCACAGTGCTCTTGCACCAAGGTTTTGACCGCTAGTCCACCATGCACAAGTGCACCAATAGTGTACCACGTGGATCGCCACGATGGGCCGCACAATCAAGAGTGCGTCTATACCCTCGCAATGTCCATTCTCGGGTGCCCTAAGGTCTATATGGCCTCTCAAGGTCCAATTTTTCCAAAAAAAACATTAATGAAAACCCAAAAATATGCCAAAAAAACTCTCCAAAAACTAGTGTTATTTATTTATTTATTTCTTCTACCAATCACATGCACTATCAAATCCAAGAGGTAAACCTCCATCAAAAGAGCTCTGACACTAGTGTCGGGTCTATCGGTTAAATCCCAGTTAAAAACACAAAATCATAAGGATTAAATAGAGATTATATACCTATTTCGAATCTGATTACCCTCTTATGGTTTGTGCCGATTTTCTCTTCTTTTTAACTTATAGTTCCTCGTTGTCGAGAATTTGATGCCTGCAATCTGAGGTTGGCTTTTACCCTGCAATTCTATGTGAAGTTTAGAGTTTAGGAATACTTTTTTTTTTTTTTACAATATTACAAAGTTTTATTGCTCAATAATATATTATAACAATATTAAACATGAACCAGTTCATCAATGATAATTGTCTCAGCCAATGACACCCCAAACTTAATTAAACCATCTGAAATCTCATTTGCCTCCTGATAGACATGATTGAAAGCGAGAGAAAGTCCTTGACTTAGATCTACTATCTCAGTGCAAGATCTACTCTCTCAGTGCAATTGAATAAAACTGCCACTGAGGCTTTGAAATTTTGTTGCACTAATTTGTGGCATTCTGGGAATTGCCTTCCACCATAATTGTAACCCCCTCAAATTTCCATTTAATACATCTTAGACCCTACAATACTCCCCCAATACCAGCTCGACCCAGATTACCAAAAGAGCTGCCATTAAAATTTAGTTTGAAAGAGCCCACTCCTGGGGATGACACTTTACCAAAAGAGCTGCCATTAAAATTTAGTTTGAAAGAGCCCACTCCTGGGGATGACACTTACCTATGGCTTTGAGCTTCCATGATTTATTTGTGATCACATTTCTCAGATTTACCTAGATATCTACCTTAGACATACATCTTCACTTGTTATTGAAAACCAATTCTAGACTCCATACAAAATGCTCCCTTTGATTGCCTCCATACTACCAGCTCTTTCCATCAAAGTTCAATCCTTAAACTGCAGGTTGCAGTCTTTTGGTGTAGCTTCAGAAAGAAATGAAAATGGGTAATAAATAGACCTAATATATCTATAAATGGAGGGTAACAAGGTCAGCTGCGGATGGTAACACGAGAATGATGGCTTCTTGCTCGTAAAAATGCTTACGAACCCAAAACAATGGCGGTCTTAGAATCTATAATGCAAAGGGAGAAAAGGAAGACTATACTAGCAATGAATAAAAAACATTTTTCTCTATATTGGATTCACTGGAAAAAAACGGGCGATCTAACCGCTAACCGCCCAGTTAGATCAGAACCGGCTACTGACCGATTTCGGTTTTGGGCTGTTTTGGTGATCGACCGGTATTTAAAAAAAATAAATAAAAAATGTATATAAATTGTCAAAAAGAAAGAATTTGGTTTGTAATGCATTTTTTAATATTCTTTACATTATGGTAAAGATTAAAAATTGTTGTGGCCATTAATACTCACTTTTATATTTTCTCATTTTATTAAATTTTTTAAAAATGCCCCTAAATACAAATCGATTGGTTAAAATCCATTTTTTTTATTAATTTTTAACTTCATTTGAATGTGTTTTTTTTAATCATTCTTTATATGCTTTTCTTATGTTAGTTTTTGTATCTTTTTTTTTTTTTAATACTTTTTTGACCGCTCGGGACTTGCCCGTTTAGAACGGCAGAATCGGCCAGTTTACTGGTTAGACCAGTTAAACCGCTTCTGCGCCCATGTCCGGTTAACCGTTCCAGTTCAATTTTACAAATACTGATTGGATTTGATTGAATTTATGCCTTCTATTTTTCTTGGTCAAATTGTCCTCTTCCTCCCGCCCTCCTCTCTATCTGTGTTAAGTCTCTCTTTTCATATGACAATATTATTATCTTACTTAATAATAAACTATTAAACCAATAAGAATAATTTTGTTTATAATAATCAATATTCAATAATTTAATGATTACGAATTCTTTATTACCTTTCAAGCTGCTATTTAGATAGCAGGGAAAACCCAAAAAGACATGGATGGAAACAATGAAAAGAGATACGGTGACTTGTGTTATGAGGGTGTAACTATTGATAGAGCATAATGGCGGAATAAGACTGGTACAGTCTATCACAAATACTTGGGTCACACTATTCTATCGTATGATCATATATCAGTGGGGCTCACATATGAACAATGACGGTCAATTTTGACAAACAATGCATTTAACAAAGAAACAGCGTTAAGTTGGAAAGCCAATTCGATTCACAAAGAAAAGAGAATGTAAGTGTTTCATAAAACACCCAAAAAATTGAATGCCATTGTTCTGTAGAATCATAAAAAAAGACAAGAATGTAATGGGCAAGGGTAATGTAAACAGATGGTAGAATGAGGTGTCATGAAAGTTGAAAAGGTTTCCATTTTTTAATATTGGAGCTCAATTGTGAGGGAACAGCAGCTGACCACGCCGACAAGTCAGGAGGAGGCCCAGTGAGTGCGAGATAATTCAAACTCTCCCCTTCTTCCATTTTCCTCCAGCTTAGCTGAGAATCCATTGCAATCATAATGTGAGGTTTATTTGTTTATTTGTATTTTATTTATCAATAAATAAACATAAGAACAAGGCATCAAACAATGCTTGGTGTCAAAAACTGAGAATTAGAATATTTCAATTGCCCATTCCTTTTGTCACTTGTAGTCATGGAAGTTTTCTCTCAAATAAAGGGGTCACTTACATTTCCAGGAAATGATGTGCATAATGCAGTGATTGTGGGATTGTAGACTGAGACACCTTCAGAGCATGAGAAGTAAATGCTGTAATTTTCATCTTCAGAGCTGCATGCTTCAGCATGAGCACCACCACAGTTAACCATTATACGTCCATTGGGCATTAGCCTCTTCTCAAGTTCTAACCATGTGGAAACCTATATCATGTGAGCAAACAAAAGGGAATAGTTTGGTTTCAGTTTGATTAAATAATGAATATCAACATCATGCAAAACCAAATACATTCTCGACATTGACATATACCACAGCAAAATAAATAACTAAGAAGCCAGATACTGATGAATTTCTCCTTGTGCCAGGTAATATCATAATTTGTCAAATTAGTTTGATGGTCCTAACATAAATGGAATTCATTATCAAATAATAATAACTATGCTTATAGAGAATCGTCAAATAAAAACCCTATTGAGAAGTCCATGTCCACGATATTTCTTATTTCACTTGTTACCTGCTCATTATGATTTTTCCCCTAGACAATTATTTCAAGCACAGTATCTATCAGTAACGAAAATGCATATCATTTCTCCAGAAGGAAAATGGAATGTCTTATGCTACAGTTCTGATTGATGCCTCACATGAACATGAAATTGGAACATAAAGAATGTGGAAATTTTTTTTCAAATATTTCCCTGGTAAATGCAAGTATTCAGAACTCCTAGATACAAAGTATGGTAAGCAATAAAAATTTAGTATGAGTCATTAATCAATCCATGATCCTCCTCCATGAAGGCAAGGGTGACAATGTACATCGAGGCACACACGCTAAAACAGTTGGGGATGTTGATTCAAGGTTATTCTAGATTGCCTCTAGAGTGGAGTATTTAGTCCTTGTTCAATAAATGATTCTTTAGCCATAATGGGAGTAATATGAAGTTGATATATCTTCTCACTCTTACTGGTGTTCCTTCTGCTCATATTTTTTTGCGTATGAGAGCAACCTGTGACTACAATGATCTTTTTTTCCTTTTCCTGGTAAATGATAGGACCTTCATCAATAATCAAAAAGAAATTAGACGAGTACAGAGAATCTGAGAGTTGATGGCCATTGAATTTCTGGGGGCAATCATCTTATCTTTCAAATCCTAGATCACTTGCTTCATTATTTGCTAGCCTCGATACTAAAGAATATGTTCCCTAGAGATAAAAGTCAATTCACTGGTGCTCATATCATGTTTCACGCCCATGATTTCCACAAAGAAGTGTTGTCATCTTCATGGGACAACTGACCCGGCCCTCTAACATCTCATAAGTGCCAATCTGGTGATAGCCCTTTGTCACCCACAACTCCTAAAAGATCGGTTCAGGACACAAAATTGCAAACTCTAGCCAATAAGGCTTTAGCTTCTGATCTAGTAGAGCCAGTCTCCCTTAAGGACCCTGCAAAGCACTTCTGAAGCACCCCTCCCAGTCTCAGTAGTCCTTGGTTTTTTCATGCCCCTTATGCGCTCATCACTGAGGGTGAGACCCACTCAAGTGGGGGCCTGATCCTCATCTTCTATTGAAGGATCAATGGTGTTTTATCTAAGGGAATGCGAACCATGATTTTTGATAAATATTCAAGGATCAGAGAAATTTTCCATTCTCAATCTATGATATCGGGTGTGAGACAAGGGCTACCAGAGCGGTCAAATCCTAAGATTTACCCCGTGATCATGCACAACTTTAAAGTTCTCATGTGCTCCAACTAGTGGTTGTAAACCACAGCCTAATATAATCCCTAATTGTATACATTTTGCGACTTCATTCAAACTAAGGCTTGGATTTCTTGAAGCAGAAGAATTCTAAGACAAATACTAGTCTACAAATATGTTTTTTCGGAGCACGAAAATTCAAGCATTTGTCACTCCTATGCGTATTGAAAGAGCAGTAACACAGAATTTGAAATTGGAGAGTTACCTCGTGGAATTTATTTGAGACAACTAAGTAGATTCATGTGTAGGTAAAAATAAAGTGCGCTCTTATAACAATCTTGATTTGAAGCCAATATGTAGAAAATATGGCTGCCATGTATTCAGAAATTTAAGGAAGAAAATAGAAGAAAAAAGATATAAAATAGAATATGTTGGGCAGAGGACTAGACCTAGTATCCTCATACAAAAGAAAACTATTCTGAATGGTAACTGAAGCACCTACCAGCCACTCATCCAGCAGTATAAGTGACATTAGAATATAAATGTTGTCCGAGACAGTCAATCAAAAGCCATGCATTTACAAAAGATCTCATACCTCTTGCAGCTGCGGTAAAACTTTCCCATCAGAAAACAAATCCACAATTATGCCTGTAATTGTTTTCACAAAGTTCAGTCATAGATACCAGCGGAAACAAAAATTACTCAATCTAGAGAAATGAGGCATCCTAGACACATAAACCCCCTTAAAATTCACAGGAGTATGTTTTAAAATTAGCTTCATAAAGGAATGGTCTATTATAACAACAAATAATTAGCGATCAGACATGGAGAAGGGAAATCCCTTGAAGCTAAAGTTAGCTTGTAGCTCTACGCAATACTCACCAGAGAATCCACCAGGAACAACAGCCATCGGGGAAAGAGCATCACCAACATGAACATGTAGAATACCACCAGCTTCATTGCATTTCTCTAGATCAGACAAGTAAAAATGCTTTCTTGCTTTATCTATCAACTGTCAGGGACAACTGCATTATCTAAAAGGAAAAAATGAAGTCTCGAACTTCAAAGTATATTGCATATCAAGTTAATTTCCATATATCTACAATGCTTTACAACATCTAAACTATACAAAATACTAACAAAACAACCTCAATGATATATATGAATATGATAAAAAACCAAATTGAACATCAACATGCATCATTTGACAAGAGTCAACAACACATGCATTTCACAAGGATAACTCGAAGAGTGATGCCCTAAGGAAAAAAGCCAAATCACTAAAAAGAAGTCAAGAAGATCCTGGCCCATAAGGATTTGATGCAGTCCTGCTGATGCCATGTTGACATCATCTCCAGAATTTAATGTTTGATATTTATTATTTATTTCTTACTATTTACGAGTTACTGTTCACAAGGGAGTTTCTAGGATTATTAATATTGTTTAAATTATTTGGAATTTATTAAGGGTGAAGTTTGGTTGCAACCTTAAACAATTATTGTAGAGAAACTTGTCCCCATTGAAGTACCTTGAGCTTCACTTTATTGAATCAATTGAATTTCCAACCCTATTTTCTATTTAATCTCATCTATCAATACTCTGTGCTACATCAATTGGTGTGAGAGCAAATGACTTTTCTTCATGCCCCATGGCATTCAGTTTCTCTGGAAACACGGCGATGGCTGCATGAGGATTGTGGGGAAGAGGCTGTGAGAGGAGGTCGCAGTTGAGACGCCAGAATTAGATCCAAAATGGCGGATTTGGAGGTTGTTCTTCAAAGATCCGACACATTGGCTGCCGAAGTTCCCAGATCAAAGATGTCACCCTAGAATTGTGCCAGCAAAGGGATAAATGTAGGGTGATGTCGTGCGTTCCCAGGGTTTCTGGAGCAAAGCAGATTGGAATTCAGAAGATGATTTAGATTCGGATAGCCTAGGATCACATCGGTCACAGGAAAAAAGCCCTATCCCATTTGAAGATTGGTTGGTTCAGGCACTTGAAGGCTCTAAACAAAACTCGGCCGAGTAACTCAGCTCCACCCTATAGGCGAGGCGAGTTTTGGCTGAGTTGGTGGTACAACATTTTTTTTAGTTCAAGTATATCTCATTTTTAAGACAAATGTGCTTACAGCCTTTTCCGGTTAGTACGTAGGAATAAATTTAACCCCATTAGCCATCGGGGTTAGAATCCCATAGGTGTACACCACTTTTAAAAAGTGTCATTATGTTTGGAGTTCAAAAAAGAATATAACCTCCACCGGGAATGGAACACACATGACCTCTTGAAAGAGGGCTAATTCCACACAACGAACTAACCGGCATGTCCATTTACTATTTAGCTAACAAAAGTGGCATTTATAATATATAACCATTATTTTATCTCAATTTTCTTTAAAAAAAAGAGATGGACTCAGGTGAGTTACTCGGACTCGCCCGCGTAAATCGCCTCAACCAGGGCCCAAGTACCTTGGCCGAGTCGATTTTTGAACATTGGAACAAAGTATTAGAGTTGATGTACCTGATTTTGCAGGGAGATTACAGCAATATGACTGACATGCAAGTGTTGAACAATTTTTTCAATTGAAGGATATGGTGGAGCATAAAAAGGTACGATTTCTTAGTACGAGATTGAAAGGCCATGCTTTGTTTTGGTGGAAGCAAGTACAGGTTGGATCGCACAAGAAAAGGAAAGCAAGAGGTCCACAGTTGGGAAAAGATGAAGAGGTATTTGAGGGGAAAATTTTTGCCCACAGATTATATGCAAAATCTTTACCAAGACTCAATCATTATAGCAAAAATATGGTTCAATACATGATTATATGGAAGCCTTCTATCATGTTGAGCGTGACTGATATTCGAGAGACTGATGACCATCTGATTGTAACATATACCAATGGGTTATGTGTTGCAATACTTTGGATCGGGCATATCAACTTGCTTTGAAATCCAACACCAAATTGCACAGATCTAGGCCCAATCGCTTCATAGATAAGCAACCAACCACTACAAAATCCAATATTCCAAGGAGCTAGTGGGGCGAAGTTCTAATCAGTCCTGTGGTGAAGCAGCAGGTCGATTTAAGGGCCAGACCTGCCAACACTGGCCTAACACAGCACCATAGTCCCAAAACAGCAGTGAACCAACAACTTGCTTCAAGTTTGGCAAGCCAGGACATAGTTCTTAAGACTGCCCAAAATGCCAAGCTGGTGTCCACTTATAAGGGGAATCCATGGAGGGTATTGAGGAGGAAAACGTGCACACCGATGAAAGGAGTGAGGCTGATATTGAGGAAGGTGAAGAAGACACATATCCCAATGACGGCGAGCTCTTAGTGATTCGACTTATGCTAGCTGCATCCAAGGTTGTTGATGAGTCATGGCTGCAAACTAGCATCTTTCGCACAAGATGCACAATGCATGGCAAAATATGCATTTAATTGTTGATAACGGGAGCTGCGAGAACATGGTTTACCAAGAGATGGCGAGCAAATTGAAGTTAAAGAAAGAGAAGGATCCCAGACCCTACAAGATACAGTGGTTCAAACAAAGTAACAAAGTTCTTGTTCATTCTCGTTGCTTAGTTTCTTTTTTTATTGGTAAATGATAGATGACCCCATATGGTGTTACGTGTTACCAACGGACACATGTCACTTACTGTTGGGACGTCCTTGATGGTACGACCGATGGCGAGAAAAATATGTAATAATTTACCAAGGATGGTGTTAATATGAAATTACACCCTTTGAAAGATGAAGACAAAGAGTTAAGGTGTAAAAGAAAGAAGTAGTTCTGTCCATGCACCGTTTTTTGGCAGAAAGTAGTGAAAAGAAGATCATGTTTGCCTTATTAATGAAGGATCATGGTGGTGTTGATGTGGGGAATAAGGTAGTTGAGCCGCTTTTGAATGAATTTTAGGATTTGATGCCCAAGGAATTGCCCAATGCGTTACCTCTTGTGGGAGATATCCAGCACTATAATAGACTAGTTTCCAAGTACTATTTTCTTTGGGTAAGTAGTTTCCAGGTACTAGTTTACCAAATCTCCCACACTACCGCCAACATCCCCATGAGCATGATGACCTCCATAGGAAAGTTTCGGGCCTATTGGCTAATGGGTTGATCTGTAAGAGTCTAAGTCCTAATGCTATCCCACATTGTTGACTGCCAATAAAGATGGCACTTGGCACATGTGACAACATGGCCATAAACAAGATCGCATTCAAGTATAGATTCCCCATACCCCGTTTAGATGATATGTTGGACATGTTATCTGGATCTAAGGTGTTTTCCAAGATTGCGTTATGAAGTGGGTATCATTAGATTAGAATTAGATTGGGAGATGAATGAAAAACATCATTCAAGAATCAAAAGGGGTTATATGAATGGTTATTGATGCCTTTTGGCTTGTCTAACACACACCGTGCTTTTATACGGATTATGAATCTGGTGCTCAAACCATTCATAAGGAAATTTGCTCTGTTATATTTTGATGATATTTGATTTACAGCAGTATAGTTGAGGAACATTTGATTCATTTGAGGCTGATTTTGGCATTACGGGCTGAAAAATTATTTGTCAATCTTAAGAAGTGTTCTTTCTTGAAAGATAAGTCTTATTTTTCTTGAGATATGTAGTATCCGCTAAGGGAATTAGAATGGATCCTACTGAGGTTCAAGCGATGTGCATAATTTTCATGGGCTAACTACGTTTTATCGGGGATATATTAAAAATTTCAGTAGCTTGATAGCTCCGATTACAGATCGTATGTAGAAAGGCAACTTTGTTTGAACTTTGAACAAATGCAGCCAATGATAACTTCCGGTTGATTAAAGAAAAGATTACATAGGCACGCATCTTGGCTTTAGCGAATGTTGACAAAGTGATGTAGAGAACTTGAAGAAAGATAGAAATGATCAAGAAAACACCCTGACACATGCAACTGTGGAGAAAGCTAAGGCTTCCTCCCACCTAGAGCTCAATCCTTAAGCTTCTTTTTTCCGAAGACAAAGTATATTTTCTGAAAGAACACATGAATGCCTCTCCAGCCTATCCACACTCTATTTATATTGAAAATTTATTGTTTTGGACAATATTTGTCCATACAATTAACTTTTGACCAAAAGGTCCTAAATTAAGTATAACTTGAAATTAAACTGCCTAACTTTAATTAAAATATCTAAAAAGTCCCTAGCTAGTCCAGTAATGAAATAAAAAAAAAAGAATCTAAACTAGTCTCAAACTAAAAAAACATTCATACTATTTCTTGCTCTTCTTGTTCTTCTTGGAAGCCTTCCTAGGGGTTTCATTATCCAAATATGAGTGAAAACTAGGAGGAATCTAACGCTCCAAAGAAGATACTCATGGCTACTCATTGTGCTTTGATCATCATCATCACAAAGTGTTTCAGGTGGATTGTGATGCATCCCATGTTGGGATTGGGGATATTTTGAGCTAGGAAACTAGGCCCATTGCTTTCCTCAATGAGAACTTAAGTGATTCTAAGTCACACTATTCAACATATGATTTGCAGTTCTATGCAATAGTGTAGGCAATTAGACATTGGAGGAACTATTTGATTCGGTGGGAGTTTGTATTGTATTCCGCTTATCAGGCATTGAGGTTCTTGAGTACTCATAAAAGTTTGAATAGAAGGCATGCCAAATGTGCTTCGTAATTGAAAGATTCACTTTGTGATCAAATATAAGGCTGGAAGTCAAAATTGAGTAGTGGATGCCTTGATCAAGAGATCCATGGTGTTGAGTGTTCTGTAGACATCAGTTGTGGGCTTTGAAACAATCCCACAACAATATGCTGCTGACCTCTAATTTGCATAAATTGTTGAATACGTACAACAGGGAGACCCAGAAGCTACTGAATGTTATGTTTTACAGGGTAATTTTCCATTCAGAGGAAATCGCCTTACACACCAGTTGGCTCCTTGAGGTTGAGATACTTTCTGAATTGCAGGGCGGTGGATTGGGAGGTCCCTTTGGCAGAGAATGTACTTTAGCATTGGTGTAGGACAAGTACTTTTGGGCACGATAGAGGAGGGATGCCATGAGGTATGTGGATAGATGTTGTCTATGCTAGACTCAGAACACCACATTGTACACTCCGTTACCGGTACCACGACAGCCATGGGAAGATGTATGAATTTCATGGTGGGATATTTGCGAATAGTGCAGGGGATGGACTCTATCTTCATAGTAGTTGACCGCTACTCCAAGATGGCATATTTTATAGTGTGCCAAAATACTTTGGATGCTACGGGGGCAATCGATCTATATTTCAAAGATGTTGTTCGGCTTCGCGTTGTTCCCATAACTATCACTTCAAATCGAGACACAAGCTTTATGAGCCACTTTTGGAGGATCTTGTGGCAAAAGATGGGTACAAAACTGTAATTCAACAGTGTGCACCATCCTCAAACCTATGGTCAAATGGAGGCAGTTAATAGGCGTTTGGGCAATCTGGTGCGCTATTTGACAGGAGGAACGACCACAATAGTGGGTTTGTTGTGTCTCAATCTGAGTTTGCATGTAACAGTGCCAGAAATAGAACCATAGGGCAATCACTTTTGAAGTAGTTAATGGAAGGAATCCGAAGCAGGTATTAAATTTGGTGAATCTGCTTGATATGGAGCGAATTAGTGGTGATGCAGAGGCTTAGGTGGAACACATTCGAGACATCTAGTCTGAGGTGACAGAAAAGCTTAAGAGGAACACAATGTGTTACAAAGAGGGTGTTGATCAACATAGGCACCGAAAAGAGTTCAATGAGGGTGATTTAGTTATGGTCTACTCCAGAGTAGTGCCATAAACCAAAGTTTAGGCGGATTAGGCCTTGTTGTGTTATGAAGAGGTTGGGAAAGAATGTGTGCAAAGTGAAGCTTCCAGCAGGTTGTGATATTTCGCCAATATTTAAAATTGCTAATCTATACGATTATCATTGTGAGAACGACAAAGAGATGGAGATTGATTGGCAGGACCAGTAGCCAGAATTTGAGGCCGAGTTGATTGATATGTGCTTGATACTAGGACTATTACCATGAGGCATGAATCATATACAAAGTATTTTGTGCATTGGAAACAAATATCTGAAGCAAAAGATTCATGGATTTCAGGGACGGACTTCCAAAAGGTAGATCCTTGACGCAGTCCTAAGAATTGTTTGGAATTTATTATTAGTAAGGGTAGTTTGGTCTTTTATTATAACTTAGGGTTAAGAAGAGTGGCTATTAAAACTTTGTAAAGAGGTTACAGAGTAGTTCTGCTAACTTTAATTATAGAGAGACTTTTCCCCATTGAAGTATCTTGAGGTTCACTTTTATTGAATCTATTGAATTTCCAGCCCTTTTTTCTGTTTAATCTTGTCCGTCAATACTTTGTGCTGCATCAGGATCCTATTGTCCTTCACCTTTCAAACGTGCCATGCAATAGTAAAACAGCAATGGATAAAATGATATTTCTTCTTATTCAACAATTTGTACAAAATAACAAGTCTTTGATTCCAATATTTATATGAAAATGTTCTCTTTTATTCCCAACAGATCCAAAAACCACTCTTTGGACAAATCAGATTTCCCCTTAGGAGATAAGTGGTTTAACATAAAATTAATGAATTACATTTCCTGAAAACAGTTCCAACTGTAGTTCAACATTTCGCAGTTTCACCTATCTAGAAAAATCTCTAAAAAGGTCTCAACTGTGATTTAATATTTTACTTATCTGGGGAAAAAAAAAGAAACTACTGCTAAGCATTGTACAATGAGAAGCTTCTTTCAGAACGGGAGACCAGACATTGCCATAGTGTAATTGGCAAAAACTATACAATATGAATCAGAAACAGAATTTTTATTCTGAGTGAATCACAGAACAAGAACTGTTCTCATGTTTTACAAGTACTTCCGAGACTTTTGGCATTTCAAGAAGGTATAGAAACTTTTCTGTCATTCCAATGGATTAGAACATCTTCATTCTCTTGACAAATCATATTTTGCTTCCTGAGCTGGAAGTAAGCCAGTAAACCAAGTAGATACAAATTTTTCTTAGTAATCAGAACAAGAAACAGTTATGCTTCCCTAAGCCATAACTTGACTCCATGGTCCTGATGCAAAACACTGTAATGCTTTTAGTGATATATAAATCAGGTTCTAATTGGTTTTCTACACTAATAATGGATAAATATAATCATAATAGGTAGGAAGTTGATATAGCTTAGGCAATTCAAACTACTCACTTTGATAAGCTTAAATCCATAGGATATTGTGGCTAAAAGCTCTTAAGAACAATTCACCACTTAAAAGCATATAATATGAGGAACACAATAGATAAGGTCAGAGAACATGCTGATGAGTACATGGGTTCTTCAAACAAATTAGACCATTATAATAAATGGAAAATAGCTTCAGGAAGCTTCTTACGATTTCATCAATCTCCCATCCCTCGAGCTCCAATGAAGGCCATAGGTCAAGCATTAAATGAGCAGCTGTGCCACCGCCCTGTTAAGGGATTTTGACGTCATTCTATTTGACCTCAATATTAAGATGGAAGAACAAGATGACAATTAGCAGTCTACAAGTAAAGCAAGAAAAGGAATTTGCATCATACGAACTTACCAAACCCAATATTGCAATGGGGCCTTTAGGAACAACTGCTGGAAGGCATGCAAATTCGTCCTGTATATTTTTGCAGTTCCAAAAGCTTAGAAAGCCAAATTAGTTGTTATATAGGGCCCAGAGATCAGACAGTTGGCCTATAAAAGAACATTTTATGCAGTATTACTTGAATTGGGTAAGGTTCCATTGACTATTTCACTAATTAGAGGGACAGATGAGAGGGAGGAGGCCTCCATAAATGATAATTACTCACGAATATGACTAGCTTAAACAACGCAGGAATAACTATTCTGTTTTGACAGAGATTTTGCAAAAACCACATGCTATGCTGGTGGCTACTTTAAATGCAGTCAAATAGATGTTAGCAACGAATTCCAATCCACAATATGTATTAATCAATGCAGTCAAATACATGACAGCACAGGCACTCCTCCACATTACATGTCCTTAATGGTCAATAGGTCACATAAGGTAAGAAGGAATATGATGCTGGTGGAGCCTAGGAAGTTCTTATGTGAAAGCTGGTAATCTGGCAAAGCTTGGACATGGGTGTTTCCCCAATCCTACTAGTGCTCGGTGTATAATTTTGTACGATATTGTTTTGGTTTGTCTTAGGTTATTTTGTTTCTTGTCCATCATTGGTATTATCATTTATTGCTGAATAAAGCTACATAATTGGCCCTGGAATATACTGGTAGAGAGAATAATGACTATGATCATTCTAGAGGAATGTCAATTGACTGTCAAGAGTTTAATACACCTTGATTTAAACCAAGGATCCATCATCAATTCTATGACTTAAATTTATCACTATGAATGCAAAGAACCAACCTTCACTATTCTTTACTACGACAATGTTGACAACATTTTATTCTTAAGATTCTATGAATGGGAAAGAAGTGCTACATGGTAGGTGTATGAACTTTCAAGTATATTAAAATTACATATATGGAGTTTCAAGTGTGCAAAAGCAAGTTGCAATTGCAAGTAAATCATAATAAGCTAATAAGTTCATTAATGCACCATACAGAAAATTTATCATAGAATTGATTGTTGGGATTTGAATATCCATCAAAGGGCCGGTTGAGGGGTAAAATTAAAAGATAGAAGTGACATGTATAATGTCTCAGCAACATGTATGGTCTGTAAAACACCTCCACAACTAAGACGAAAACTGGCATATTTTTCCATTTCTATCAGTAATTCTTGATTCTAGTACCACATAAATGAAAAAAAATTGGATGAAGGATATTTCAGATACCCAATAAGAACCTGTTAACTTTTGCCCCTCAGTATAAATGCTATGGATGTTCCCTGCAAGAATTATGAGAAAGTTATAAAAATAAAGTTGCCATATGTGGAGAGAGAGAGAGAGAGAGAGAGAGAGAGAGAGAGAG